GCCACACCAGGACTCCATTTTAGTGTCCTATTTTATATGTATTTTATTCAATCAAACATTAACTTTTTAAAAATTATACTTACAGCTGTTCAATTTGTTCAAATTCTTTCCCACCATCTGTGTAACAAAAGAAGAATTTAATTATTAAGATTGGCTTACTATTTTTTATGGAGTATCTACGTTCAACTCACTTTTCCCTGAATTAAGAATGAACTGCACTTGGGAATGCAGGATAAATGCACCACTTTAGATAATAGCACTTACATCATGCTTTCCTCAAACTCCCCAGACCTTACATATTTCAATGAACCAACTTGGGATTTTAAAAAATGTAAGTGATTACTTCTCAATTTAGTTATTAATTTGGGTTAAAAAACAAAGAAACAAAAAAATAGAATACAAGGTTCATTTTCTTCATGGACCTTGGGTTTCTTAACTCAAAACCCATTCAGGCACATTTCTTATATGAGAACTCCAAAATGTTTGATAAAGCTTTAATAAAAAAGTTAACTATGTAAGTGAAAGGATGAGTGTCCCGGTAGTGCTAAGGGATAGGTGTTGAGCTGTCTTGTGGGAGAAAGACGATGCTGTTTGTTCCCATACAGATTTACAGTCTGTTGTTGTTGTTATGTGCTGTGGAGTCAGTTCCAACTCATAGCGACCCTGTATAGGGTTTCCAAGGCTGTAAATCTTTACAGGAGCAGAAAGCCTCATCTTTCTCCTGCGGAACTGCTGGTAGTTTTGAACTGCTGACCTTGAGGATAGAAGCTCAACTCATAACCACTATGCTACTTGATTTACAGTCTATGAAACCCTAAATAGGGTAATTAGGAGTTGAAAATGACTTGACGGTAATGTGTTTCATTTCTGGACTTTGGAAGTGAAAGGATAGTTGTTTGTCTTTGCAACCTTTTATGTTTAACTATGCCAGAATTTTGTAATATTCCATTGTAAATACATGTATCACCTAGTTGGTGTTCAGCAACTAGCGTACTTAAGACAACATAAAATTAAATCTTTAATATTAAAATTTTAAGAAATACTTAGATACAAGTTTGTAACTACTGTCATCATTGTTACTAACATAATTAATTTTCAAAATAGAGAAATTGATTTTCCCATAAAACTCCAAAGCCACAATATTAAGTCAAAACATAATATTTAAGAGCAAAAAAGTCAGCTTGAGGAATAAGGTGGAAAAATAGAATGAGAAAAAATTCCTACCTGAGAGATGCCTTTTCTTTTGTGTATATATTTCACAAAGAAGAATAATTGTCACTAAAACAATAACTTCAGCGACTATTGCAAGAAATGGCTTAAGGGGCACCAAATAGCTCAGCACAACAAGTTCAGTGAGAATTTCACTCTCTCCTAACTGGAAGACTGCATGGCACCAGTAAAATCCCCGGTCTTCCTCAGAAAGTTGCATAATCTTGAGCTTTGTTTCATTAGCATATGTTCCATTGATCACATGGAATTTATCATTCATTTGTATGTTGACAGGTACCTGATATAAGAAGAAACTAAAATCCATAACTATTATATTGCATAAAAGATACATATCCTTTAGGACCCAGTTTCTAAACAATGGTGCTAAAAAGTTTTATATAGCAGAGCTTAAGTCTTAGAGCTTGGTCTCCTGAGGTAACAAACAATGTAAAGTATACTTGGCTCTAAGGTGGTACTTTTGAATGTTTGAAACTACAGTGTATAACTATCATGGGTCAATATTTCATAAGGCAAAAAAATTAGAGAAAATGTCCTGCCATCTTGGTTTCATGTTCTAATCAACTAGCTCTTTAGTCAATGCACTTCCTTCTTCACAGACCACACACACACACTGAAACAACTACCTTTGATCTACTAAATCTGACCATTCTCATAAAGAAAGAGCACTCACTCCTAAAGAAGGGACATCCACAGGCAAAAACTACAGATGAACTCTTTAGGCCTTTGGAGATGATGCAGAGGAATAGTAGAAATCCCCTTCATCCCTGACATACATGGGGAATACACGTTTCTTTAAGTAGAAATGGTGTTGCAGTGGTCAAGCACTCGGCTGCTGACTAAAAGATTGTTGTTGTTAGGTGCCATCGAGTTGGTACCAACCCATAGCAACCTTATGCACAGCAGAACGAAACACTGCCCGATCCTGGGTCAACCTCACTATTGTTGCTATGCTTGAGTCCACTGATGCTGCCACTTGGCCAATCCATCTCATTGGGGGGACTTCCTGTTTTTCTCTGACCCTCCACCTTACCGAACATGATATCCTTCTCCAGTGACTAAAAGATTGGAACCCATCAACTATCCTGCCAGAACTGCTTCCACAAAGACTATAACCTTGGAAACTCTACGGGCCAGTTCTACTTTGTTGGAATCTACTTAATGGTAATGGGTAACAAGCAGACCACATTCTGATTTTTGTTTCTGAATTTCTCAGGTTAGCTAGTTGTTGTGATCCTCTGGGTTTTCTTTTACCCTCACCAAGCTATTTCTTGGGGATTCAAATAAAATCAATCTATTTACATTGAACTTTATTTTCAAGCCATTTGATAACTTCATTGCTCTCGCACTCCACTGCACTGCTCAATATATACTCATCTGCATACAAGCATTCTCAGAGGTAATCTAATAAAGAGCATTCTGAGTTTAGAATATGCAGAAAGATCAGAGCAAACTGGAATGTAAGTTACAAATGCACCCTAACTCATAGCTACTGAGTCAAAAGTTCTGCATCTGCAAAGGTGCCCCAGGTGATCTGACAAAGAAGCTACATTTTGTAAAATACTTGACTTATGGTTTCTGTCCCTTATTCCCTGACCTTTCATCTCATCGTAATGTAATTCCCATTTAAGATCAAATAAAGACAAGATCAGTACAGCTGGTGGAGAAATAATGGAGTCTTGGTGGTACCGTCGTTAACCTTTGGGATGCTAACCAAAAGGTTGGCAGTTGGAACCCACCAGCCACTCTAAGGGAGAAGGAAAGGGCAGTTGGCATCCACAGATTTACAGTCTTAGTAATCCTATGGAGCAGTACTACTTCACCTTACAGGGTCACTGTAAGTCAGAATCGACTCAACAGAAGTGGGTTTGTTATTTTTTGGTGGAAAAACACAGGAACACATAAGACTATATTCTAAAACTTTAAGATAAATTACCTGTGGTCTATTTCTTGTTTGATTATTTCATATGCATCAGTAAAAATTGTGTATCTCAAATAACAAATTTGCTATTTGCTTTCATATATTTACATAGTTTTAAAAGTATTTATATAGACACAATGACTGCCTTTTCTAGTCATCAGTAAGAGTTCAGTAAGCTGAAGTGTTAATGGTTAAAGTCTATGCTTAATGATTTGAAGCTACTTTTCTAAAAAAGTCAACCAACATTATTACAGAATCAGCTAATAATTCTTTGAGTCCTTCCTCTGTCATCATTCATTAAGTTGAGTAAAACAGAGGAATTTAATATCTCATTGTAAGATCTATCCTACCTCATAGTATTCTTTTTACAATTATAATTTGTTTTAAACAAGACTTTAATTTTAATGATTAGCACCACTGCACAAGAAAGGTATCCCTAAGGGGCAATGTCCTGAATATCCCTGATATTCAGAAGGTGGAAAGCTAAGGATTATTTATTGAATACCAATGTTTTTCTTAAGATCAACTCTTTGAATGGTTCTGTCTCTTAAAAAAAATAGTAATTAAAATTAGTTGGCTTCCCTTAGGTCTCCAAAGGTCAAAAACGTAATAATAGGATCCAAGACTTAAGTTTAAGTTGTTAAATCTCAGCATACATTCCTTTCTCAAATGGTGCAGTTGTGCTACATTTATCACAGATGTATATTAGAAGACAAAAAGGAGAAGACTGACTTTTTCTCTAGTTATTTTCCTTAAACGAAAAACATCAATCCTTTAGGAAGAAGATGTTTCAAACCTAGTCAACTAAAAACGAATTTTGACTGCCTCTCAAGAAGTTTAAATAAACAGCTGAATTTTAAACCAAAGTAGCATATTATAAAACATTCAGAGTAACTTCAGATATGTAATGTAATCTGCTGCAAATATGAGATGGCAACTCCATTTATCACTGTGTTTTCTTTATAAATATTAATGAGCAAAGTAACAGTATGCATTGACAAAGTCCTAAAAATTATGAATCTGTTACGATACCACTATTTACACAATATGTTTTATTTTAGTTTCTTCAAATCAAAGACATATGGTCTTACCTGTGCACTCCCATTACTACTGTACCAGGTCCAATGTAAAGGAAAACAATCTTCACATTTACATGTCAAGATAGTAGAATCTCCCACATAAGTGATTGCTGGTTTGTTTTTTCCTTGAATTTCAGGGACTATGGAAAATTTAGAGAAATTTATATTTAGTGCGTTTGAAGTAAAGGATCCCATCTCAGAATGTTTTGCTCTTTCACTTTCTCAGCAATGTATATTATTGTGCAGTTTTAATTCTATACAAGATAAAATTGATTCATAGTAGTTAGGATGCTAGATATAAATACAGAAACAGATGAAAATTCAGCTATGATGCCTCTAATAAATGTCTTAGAGCTGTTATTTTTTCAAAGTTCTAACCTTAGGTTACATTTGAGTGAAGAGACAACATTTTCAATATAAAATCATTCATTCATGCATTTTTATGGAATGTACACAAAGTTTGGAGAAAGTGGGACAGTGAGAAAAGAGCAAAGAAAGACTACAAAAAAGAGAAAAGTAAAAAAAATTGAACATGAGATTAAAAACACTTTCAAGTAGTTTTGTGAAAAATATTAACACCATTGTTAATCATTATTACAAATTTCTTAATAAAGAAAGGTTGAAGAAGTCATTAGAAACAGAATAAAAATGTGCACTGAATTTAGAAAACAGAAAGTGTTAAGGATGTGAACAAGTTAGTAAGGAAAATTAAAATATAAAAACATTAACTGTGAAAAAAGTCAACAGATAGCCTAAGGAGAGCAGGTGTGGCATTGTAGGATAAGCACTGGACTGCTAATTACAAGATTGGCAGTTCAATCCCACTAGCTATTCCTCAGAAACCTGTACAGGGTCACCATGAGTCAGAACCAACTTGACAGCATTTAACTGCAGCAACAGCCTAAGTGGTGAGATCAGCTGTTTCAAATGATCATAAAAAATATACATTGTAAAATATGTACTTCTCTTAATACCTCTTTAATAACCCACTGCCACAGAGTCAATTCTTATGCATAGCGATCCTAAATAGGGTTTCCAAGAATGTAAGGAGCTCTGGAAGCATAGTGACTATGAATCAGGCTGCTAACCTCATGGTCAGTGGTTCGAAACTACAAGCAGTTCCACGGGAGAAAGATGAGGCTTTCTGTTCCCATAAAGATTTACAGCCTCAGAAACCCCATGTAGGGTTGCTATGAGTCGGAACCAACTCCACAGCACATAACCACTACCAAGACAAGGAGGAGAAAATCTTATCTTTCTCCTAAGGCATGGCTAGTGGGATTGAACTGTCTACCTCGTGACTAGTAGTCCAGTGTTTATTCTACAGCAACACCAGAGCTTCTTACCTCCTTAACTGCAAACTGGAAATGTACACTGATAAAAGACTACTTCTGTATTTGTTTTTGTACTCCTAATTTTAGTAGGTTTTTGTGTTTTGCTGTTAAGTTTTTGTGTTGGTTGGTTTGAGAGCAGAAAGTGAATGGTTGGAATTATATCTAAATTGAGAAAACAAACTTTATTATATTTTATGTTTTACTGGGGCATGGGAGTAGTAGTACCTATTATAATTACTGAAAATAACTTTCAAGACTCTCTTTTTTTCCAAGGGCTCTCGGGTTACTACTACCCAAAGCTAACTAGACCTTTGTTGTATGTATGAACTATACAGATGAAAAAGGGAAAAAGGTATTTTCAATGAATAAGTCATTGGTCTTGCAAAATTTTATCATACGTTTTCCAGCATCATTTCTGTCATTATTGTCCAATTATTATTCCTTCCTCTGTTTCCAACATTCACATTCCAATCACCAGTAATAATCAATACATCTTGATTGCAAGTTTGATCACCTTCAGACTAGTGTTGGTATAATTCTCTCAATTCATCATCACTGGCTTTAGTGGTTGGTGTATACATTTGATTAATTGGTCTTTCTGGTTGTTGTTGTTATTAAGTGCTGCCTAGCTGTTTCTGACCCATAGTGACCCTGTATAGGGTTTCCAAGGAGTGGCTGGTGAGCTTGAACTACTGACCTTGTGGTTCAAATGACTTTGCAGTTCAGCACATTAGTCCACAGCGTTACACCAGGTCTTTATTGTATGTATATGGATATTATCCTATCACAGACAGCACTGTACTTCAAGACAGATCTTGAAATATTATTTCTGATGATGAGACACAATTCCTCTTAATTTTGTTGTTCCTGGCATATGACTGCCAGATTCAAAATGGCCGATACCAGTCCATTTCACCTCACTAATGCCTAAGATAGCAATCTTTATGCATTCCACTTCTGACAACTCCCATTTTTTCTACATTCATACTTCATACAGTCAGTTATTAATTGATGTTTTCAGTTGTTTCTACTCATTTTAAGTTGTGTCCCATCAGTAAATAAAGATACTGAAAGCTTTTCTCCATTTGCATATTAACAGTCATTTCTACTTTGAGAAGTGATCTCTTCCCCAGTCATACGTTGACTGAATTCCAATCTAAGGGCTTCATCTTCTGACACTAAATCTGACAGTGTTCCACTGCTATTCATAAGGTTTTTAGTAGCCAAGCATTCATAAGTAGTCTGCCTCACCTTCTTCCTAGTCTGTATTAGTCTGGAAACTATGCTGAAATTTTCCCATCCTGGGTGACCCAACTGGTATTTAAAATGTCAGTGGCATACCTTCCATCATCACAGCACCACACAAACCATCACATTAGTGGAAACCAATTATTGTTGCTATTAAGTGGTGTTGAGTCAGTTCCAACTCATATTGACCCTAAGTATAACAGAATGAAACACAACCTGGTCCTCCACCATACTCACAATTGCTGCTATATTTGAGCCCATTGTTGCTGCCACTGTGTCAATATCTCTTACTGGGAGGTCTCCCTATTTTACTGTCCCTTCACTTTACCAAGCATAATGACCTTCTCCAGAGACTGGCCCCTCCTGATAACACACCTGAAGTATGAGAGACAAAATCTGAAATTTTCAGCTTCTAAGGATCATTCTGCCTGTACTTCTTTGAACACAGATTTACTTAATCTTCACACAGTCCATGTTGTTTTTAGGTGCCATCAAGTCGGTACCGACTCATAGCCACCCTATGCCCAATAGAACAAAACACTGCCTGGTCATGGGCCAACCTCACAATTGTTGTAATGTTTGAGCCCATTGATGCTTCCACTTTGCTAATCTATCT